TTTATTTATTATGTATACAATATTCTGTCTGTGTGTATGCCTGCAGGCCAGAAGAGAACACCAGACCCCATTACAGATGGTTGTGAGCCACCATGTGGTTGCTGGGAATTGAACTCAGGACCTTTGGAAGAGCAGGCAATGTTCTTAACCTCTGAGCCATCTCTCCAGCCCTCTTTTTTTTTTTAAGATTTATTAATTATGTATACAGTGTTCTACCTGTGTGCATACCTGCACCCCAGAAGAGGGCACCAGATCTCATTGTAGATGGTTGTGAGCCACCATGTGGTTGCTGGGAATTGAACTCAGGACCTCTGGAAGAACAGTCAGTGTTCTTAACCGCTGAGCCATCTCTCCAGTCCTCTTCAGGTAATTCTTGAACAGCTAGATAGGATTCTCTGTTGCCTGTTATACCCGAGCTTCTCTCTGGGAACTCCCTCAGTATCTCAACACCATCTTGGGAAGGAAGATTATTCCACAGAAATTAAGAAAAAAGATTGAGGCAAGAGGAGCGAGCTCAAGTCAGTAGATATGTCTAAGGGGAGCCATGGACATGGTCAGGGGTGGTCTGGGTTATTTTTCTGTTGCTGTGAGGAGACCCGATGCCCAAGCAACTCGTAAAAGAAAGCACTTAATTGTGGGCTTGCTCACGGTTTCAGAGAGTTAGTCCATGCGCACCTCTGGCAGGAAGGCTCTTCCTAGTTTTAACTGCCTGTGTAAGATGGGATACCTTTCTCCCTGTGCCTCCTTCCCATATGTCCCCTCTAAACAGATCTCAGTGTCAAAGCACAGGACCCAGGACTGAAGGGGATGATGGGTGTATGTTAAGTGATTGGATTTACAAGTGAACAAATTAAGGGATTAACATAATTCATGGAAGTCACCTTCACACACACACACACACACACACAAATGCCATCTGGCCATTGCAAAAGCTGCTCCTGCAGGACAGGTGCCTATGCCAGCTTCTGGCATGCAATAAGTGTTGTAGGTCGGGCACAAGCCTTTCTGCCTTGTCTGTCTGTGTAGGACATACACAGAGGACCCCAAAGAGTCCGTTAGACAGTGTGAGCTGCTCCTAGAAGAGCCAGACCTGGACAGCACCATCCGCATTGGGGACGTCTATGGCTTCCTGGTGGAGCACCATGTACAGATGGAGGAATACCAAATGGTAAGGTGACCCTGCTTACTTAGTCCTGCTGCTCTAGAGCACAGGCCTGGTTGTTGGCAGAGGCTATTACTATTTCCTTTGAGGTGGAAACTCCTGTTCTAGAGCACTTTCTATTGCTCTGATAAACACCAAGACCAAATGCAGCATAGGGCAGAAAGATCTATTTCGCCTTACAACTCCTAGGTTACAGTCCATCACTGAGGGAGGTCAGGGCAGGCAACTGGAGGTAGAGTCCAAGCAGATGCCACAGAGGAACACTGCTTTCTTAGACCACCCAGGACCACCTCCCCAGGGATGGCACTGCCATTCAATGGGCTGGGCCCTACTATCTTTGTCAGTATTCATCAAGACAATTCAGGGTTGGCAAGCTAGACAGTCCAGTGGCTTAGAGCACTTGCTGCTCTTGCAGTGAACTCATTGCAACTCCCACAACCCACGTAACTCCAGTTCCACGGGATCCAACAGCATCTGCCTTCCCCAGGTACTGGGCACACACAATGATACATACATATGCAGACAAAATACATATAAGTCTTTGAAATGTATTTTTAAAAGAAAATGCCCCACAAACTCCCTACAAATTAATGTTATGGAGACATTTTCTCAATTGATGTTCTCTCCCAAGATGACTGTAGCTTAAGTCAAGGTGACAAAAAAGGATGGATGGATGGATGGATGTAGAGGCGGTGCACGCCTCATTCTGTATTCGTGTTATTTCCATTTCACCCCTTAATAAAGAGACTTCCATGGATTCTTGCATTAACCCTACTCCACCAACTGAGCTACATACCCAACCCAGCTTTCATTTTACTAATAAATGATAATGTCCTATGTAAAAGTGACTAGTTCTTTGCCAGCATCTGTACAACCATTTTTCGTTGTTAGCCATCCCTGTGGCTGTTGATGTACTAGATAATGAGTCATCTCCCTCGTGTGACGGTGACGTTTTCACAGTGGCTGAGGCTAAGCATCTTGTGTACTTGTCATTTACTTGTCTTTTGTAAAGTGTTCCAGGTGTTTCCATCATTCTGCTTGGTTTTTGTCTGGGTTGGGTTTTTGTTTTTCATCTTCCATATCAAACATGATTTGTTTCCATTCCTCCCCTTTTCTTTCCTTCCAGATTTCCAGCTGCTTACATCTATTGTCCCTCAATTCACTGAGGCTAAATCCGCTTCCTTTTATAGCTGCTATTGTTGCTGTTCATGTTTTCCTTCTCTTAAGAACTACTCTGATTTTGAGCCCACCCAAACGTCTCACCTCAAACATGGTCATTTTACCTCTAAGCCTGACTTAAGTGTCTTCCAAACTGGACCCGGTTGTGTCAAATTGCAAGTCCCTTCTAGACCCCGAAGTCTTCTCAACCCTGTCTGCTCTTGACTTTGCTTCTTTCTTCAATTCTGCTGCTGCTGGACTAAGCTTTCTCTTTAGCCTCTGTGGTCCCGGGAGATGTCCTAAGCTTGTCCTTATGTTCCCATGTGCCCACCACAGCACCTGACACAGACAGGCAACTCTGAATACCTAGGGCAGCCGGGAGGTGGTGGCACACGCCTTTAATCCCAGCACTTGGAAGGCAGAGGCAGGCGGATCTCTGGGAGTTCGAGACCAGCCTGGTCTACAAGAGCTAGTTCCAGGACAGGCTCCAAAACCACAGAGAAACCCTGTCTCGAAAAACAAACAAACAAACAAAAAAATACCTAGGGCAGCATTTTCCCATCCCTTTGGGCTCATGTTCATTTGACTCCTAGCCCTGGGGTTTATGATTTGATGTCAAAGCCAGCCAAACATTACAATATAGCCTTATGTTTCTTATTTATGACCTTTACAGATATAGTATATCTGTCCAATAAAATCATTCTGAATTTTGGCATACGTAAGAATATTAAGATATAGCCAGTTGTGATGGCACAGGTCTATAGTCCTAGCACTCAGGAGGCAAAAGCAGGAAGATTACTGCAGATTCTAGACCAGGCTGGTGTACTTAAGAGAGTTCCAGGGTAGCCAGGGACACACAGTTAAACACTGTCTTTAAAAAAAAAAAGAAGAAGAAGAAGAAGCAGGCTGGGTACTGGTAGCACACGCCTTTAGTCCCAACCCTTGGGAGGTAGAGGCAGGTGGATATTTGTGAGTTCGAGGCCAGCCTGGTCTACAGAGTGAGTTCCAGGACAGCCAGGGCTACACAAAGCAAAAAAGCAAACAAACAAATAAATAAAGCAACTAGAAATATTTAATCATTATTCTTCATTTAAAAAATTTTTAAAGCTGCAAGTAATTTTGTTCATGTTTTGAATTAATATGCACTTCCCAGGATAAGACCTAGAAGACATGAAAGTCTTCTTACCTCTCCTTTGTGTGAGATGCTCCCTGCAGATGAACATGTGCATGCAAGGTTAGGGAGGCCTAAGTATGCTGCCCTACAGGACGCTGGGCCTGTCCTGCCCAGTCCCCCACTCTCTAAGCCAGCCCTGTGCAAACTTAACTAATAACTAGGTTAAACAACTTAATAACTAGGTCAAAGCAGATACTTGATCAAAAAGAGCAATAAGCCATTAGCAGCCTAACTTCAGTTCAGCCAAGCACATGCCCAGAATTGGTAAAAGATATCCAGCCCTCCTTTGCCAAGTGTCCAGAGACAAGGCAAGCAGACTCGAGAGAAAGCAGCTCTAGAACTCAAACCAAATTCTAGTGTTCTGGCTGCTAAAGGACCCTCAAAAACTGCTGTTCCTGTGAACCACAGCTCAGCATTAGCCACTGAGAATCATCTGATGGCCTCCCATACGACAGTCAGTTTACAAATACTGGGGAGGGCCAGACCATGAGTGCCCCTCAGAGCGAAGGCCTTTCTTTACCTGGAGCAAGAATGCTTTCTTTGGCTGAGGGTGGGCAGCTGGGACCTAATGTTTAAGAAATGAATGTGAACCTAAGATATAACTGGTGGTCACATCTATGGGCCTCAGGTCACCACTGTTCCTTCTGTTGCAGGCCTATAAGTATCTCGAGGAGATGAGGAAAAGGCTGCCGTTGGCCAACATATCATACTACGTGGACCAGCGCACCGTAGACACCGTGCATCAGGGCCTGGGCCTCCCACTATCCCGCATCATCCCCGAGCGGGTCCGCCACAACAGCATGGAGGATCACAAGGATGTGTATGAAGAGGTGATGGAAGAAGTGGAGAATGACGCCTGATAGCCTGCGGTCCTGCTGCTGGGAGGAGCCACCGGAAAGGCAGCTCTTTTTGTTTTTTTGTTTATATTGTTGTTAAATTCTGCACTGTCATGTATAAGCAGGGCAGTGGGACGTGGAGTCCAGAGTCCAGCCGCTGTGGCCCAGGAATATGCAGCTCTGGCTTGCCTCAGTTCTGTACTTAGAAGGAAGATCACATTTGCGGTTTAAAGTCATTCCTTCAACATTCCTGCCTCTAGGCACCTGGCAGTTCCTGTGGGGTTTTGGTTCACTTCCTATTAAAGGGAAGTTTCACTTTTCCCATGTTTTCCCAACAAAAGACTCAGAAACGTCTAGATCTAGAACTCTGAACCAAGCAGCCCTTGGAACTTGGGGATACCTGTTACTGTTAGCCTTGCCTGTAGTTGGCTGCTTATAGTCCCCAGCAGAGCCCAGTGCTAAGACCACAGCAGGGATCACGTGGGGCAGGCCTGAGCCCTGAGGACTGTGCCCTTGGTCACCAGAGTAGGGATTGGGATAACAGGCACCATCCATGTCTGCTCACACTCCTATGACTCCAAATAAAGTCCATTTTCTCATAGTCTGTTCTCTTAAATGCCTGGACAAGGTCCTTGCTGCCCCTTAGGAGGACCCATGTAGGAACTAAGTCTTTGCCAGTGAGAACCATAAAAGCAGACTATGTGACATCTGTGGCCGTTTATTCTAACAGAACATTGTTAGAAGCCCTGGGGACCCAGCAGCTACCCCTGGTCTGCTGTTGTAGCATCCCCTTCGGAGTATACTAGAAGCTGAACAGCTGTCTCTTATCTTCACTCTTGAGGCCGTGGCCACAGAGCCCAAAGTTCTGCTCTCAGGAGGAGGCACCTCTTGCACTCCCAACCCACCCCAGTCCAAATTCCAGTCAGTCTAAAGCTGTTGAGTCCCACGGCACAGGCCTGGTATCTTTAGCTGAACGCTCAGCCTTGCCAGGGCATAAGTAATGGCAGGGTCACACTAGGACCAATGGGCCCCTCCAGACCCCGCTGCCACAGACAGCTCGCGTGTGGACTCGCCCCTCAGGCCTTCCCTTCTTCCAGTGGAGGTAGCTGAGGGGGTCCTCAGGGCTGTGGAGAGGAAATGGACAGGAGCTTATCTCTGAGTCTCTCCAGAAGCAGCAGAGCCCTCACTGCCAGCTCCCTGCAGTCCTCGTCCACATCCTTCTCAGCCACATCTGCCAAAGGAGGAAGGAGGGAAGAAGATGTGAGTGACATGGTGGGCCAGCGAGTCTTCTCCCAGCGAAGCCCTTGAGCTCCCCCAGGCAGGGGACCGGGAAGATCAGTAGGCCAGGTCCAGAGCTGAGCAGCCCAAGCACTAACCTGGGATAAAACATCAGACAAGTCAACCTGGGGAGCTCCAGCACATGAGCCTGAGGAGACCCTGCCCTTGCCCAGGATGGCTGACAGTGGAACCTTCTGTGAGTAGCCATGGGAAACAACAAAGCAGTAGGACCCTGCCTGGCCAGCAGTTCCATGGAAGCCACAGTTTGACACTATCATGGCCAGTTGCAAAGGCTCATGGGAAGCTGGATGCTCTTTCCAGTGGGTCCAGGGAGCCTGTCAAAGGGTCCGGGCTGAAGAGTCAGAGTCTACAGCTGACTTCTTTTTAACTCAAGTCAGGGTTTCTCTGTGTAGCCCTGGCTGTCCTGGAACTCACTCTGTAGACCAGGCTGGCCTCGAACTCAACAGAGATCCGCCTGCCTCTGTCTCCCTTCTGCTGGGATCAAAGGTGTGTGCCACCACTGCCCGGCTGCAGCTGACTTCTTAAAACAATATTTAGAGGTGAGAGACAAAGGGTGGCAAATACTGCCGAGCAGATCTGGGTGGAGCTCCCGTCGCGCTCCCTGCTTCCACACAATCAGGCTGGACTGAAAATCTTGTTTTCTTTTGTTTTGTTTTTTTTGGGAGGGGAAGTTAGTTTTGTTGGTTAGTTTTTGTTTTTTTTGGGGGGGGGGGTTGAGACAGGGTTTCTGTGTAGCTTTGGTCCCTATCCTGGAACTCACTCTGTAGACCAGGCTGGCCTCTAATTCACAGAGATTCACCTGCCTCGGCCTCCCGAATGCTGGCATTAAAGGTGTGCACCACCATCACCTGGCTAAAATCTTTTTAAAGAAACAGGTCTCAGTAAGGCTGGCCTAATACTCAGAGTGTAGACCAGGCTAGCCCTGAACTTAGAGTGCTCCACCTGCCTCTGTATCTCAAGTGCTGGGGTTTAAAGGCTTGCACTATTATGTCTAACTTTGGATCTGAGAGCCTTCTGAAGGAACAGAGTCCCATCTGAGTTGTCTCTGTTGGGATCTTGTGATAGTCCCCAAGGGAACAGGATCAAGATCGCCTCCTTGATCCCCACACTCACGTCAGCACTTCTCAAAGCTAACACAGGACACACCCACACAGACTCACACCAGTGACATTTTCCAGTCCAGACACTCACCTGCCAACCATGATCTGGCTTCTAGCAGCTCATCTGGCAGGTCCCCCAATAGCCGCTCTGTAGGTAAACTGAGGAGAACAGAGGAAACAGCAGACAGCAAGCCCCGGCGCACGTAACTACCAATCAAGAGGGCGGGGAAAGGTGAGAGAAGACTCTGTGAATGGAGCCGCCTCCAGCCAGCCTATGGGAAGGCCCGCCCACATGTACCCAATCAGCCTATGGGAAAGCCCGCCCACATGTACCCAGCCAGCCTATGGGAAGGCCTGCCCTCATGTACTAGTCACTGCAGCTAGCCTATGGGAAGGCCCGCCCACATGTGCCAGTCACTGCAGCTAGCCTATGGGAAGGCCCGCCCACATGTACCAGTCGCTGCAGCTAGCCTATGGGAAGGCCCACCCTCATGTACCCAACCAGCCTATGGGAAGGCCCGCCCTCATGTACCCAGTGGGAAGGCCCGCCCACATGTACCCAGTCACTCCAGCTAGCCTATGGGAAGGCCTGCCCTCATGTACCAGTCACTCTACCTAGCCTATGGGAAGGCCCGTTCATGTACCAGTCACTCCTGCCAGCCTATGGGAAGGCCCGCCCTCATGTACCCCATCACTCCAGCCCTGTCTGAGACTCCCAGGCCTGATTAGCCACTTCTCATTAGGAAACTTTAGGCATGCTGCCTTGGAGACCAGACCCTGTGCTTCCCTTAGCCCCATGGGCCACTCACGTGTCCACGTGGAAGCGAAGGGTCCACACGAACCCCAGCAGGGCCTTACCCATGGGCACGGCCACCTGAAATCAGCAGAGGGGTGGCTGGTGAGGCGTTTCCCACACTTGGACCAAAGGTAGGATCCCACTGTGTCAGCGCTGGCCTGACACCTGACAGGAGGGGTGCGTGCAATGCCTGGTGGAGCTTTGCACACACATGCCCCCAGGGCCAAAGCGGGGAGGATGCATTCTGAGGGTGCAGGGTCCTGCACTGCTCACAGGTGGGAGATGAACACGCTACAAAGAGCTCGGGTCCTGTTCTGTGGACACTGGTGATTATCCCGCAGCCACCTGCTATGGACTATGTGGCAGGGCTTTCAGCTCCCTTTTCCCAACTCACTGTGGTGTTAACAGCCAGGTACATCAGGGATGCTAAGGTGTGGGCCAGTCTTCCAAGTACCAACTGATCATCTCCTAAGAGGTCGAAGGTCACCAGAGGCCTACAACATAGAGCAGAGTGGATGGGGCAGCCCCAGCACCTAATGGCTGGCTGAGAAGAGCCCAGAAAGAGAGCTACCAACAGAAACCCAAACCCATGAAGGCCAAACCCTTGAAGGCTCACATGGCCTTCCTCCCACCTTCACACCAGGGACCAGTGTGGCAGAGGACAGCCACAAGGTGAAGGCATTTTCAAATGTTTCAGCATACTGTATGCCGCCAGGCACAAACCAGGCCCCGAGTCAAGGTCACAGTCTGTGCTGTCACCCAAACCTCACAGGCTGTGCAGGCCAGGCAGTACTGACAGCAGCACCTTCGTAAGTTCAGGGTCATGTGCTGTCACCTAAACCTCACAGGCTGTGCAGGCCAGGCAGTACTGACAGCAGCACCTTCGTAAGTTCAGGGTCAACGCAGAGAGCTGGTGATGACTGTGCCCTCAGCACAGAACTGAATAGCAAAGGGGCCTCCTCAATGTCTCAAAGCGTTTAAGTCAAGCTCATAAAAGAAGCCGAGCCCACATTCATGCCCTGTTGTGCCACAATCGCTGTCCACAGAGGTGTTTCTAAAGTTCCAGAAAACTCACCTGTCAAAGTGCTGAAGGAGGGGGAAGAAGAAGTAACCAGCCACAGAGTTGAATTCATTGGGGCCACCTGATAGCTCCCTCCGCGGACAGCCCTGCCAAAAACAGCATGGTCAAGGCGCAAGGCTACTCCCCTGGTGCAGACATACAGCCCTTCCAAACACAGCATGGGTCAAGGCGCAAGGCTACTCCCCTGGTGCAGCCGCGCAGCTACTCAGGCTTGCCCTGACCTCCCTGGGTTTTATGGCCCCGTGGAAAGGGCTGAGTCTGTCTCAGGCCACTGTGGTCTGACAGCAGAGTCCCAAGCCACACATCAACTACTCAGAGCTATACTCACTACAGGAAGACCTGGACATTGTGACAAGCTAAATAGCCTGGTCTCCAGCCCTGAGCTGAGCCCAACCATCTCCAGACATCACCACAGTCACTTTTTTTGTTTCTGAGCCGTACTCCTGAGCTCTTTCTACTTCCCCGTTTTAAAATCGTGCTGGTCTGATGTGCCTCAGTTTATAGATAAACTCTTGCTCTAACTCAACACTGCGCTGACCCTGCCTGTGACGGGGTTCCCTTCAGTCAGACAACACCTAGAGGAATCCAACTGTTCATGCTGCTGCCCACAAAACAAAAGCCCCATGCCGACAAGGACCTGAACAGCGTCCTGCTGACCTTCGAGAACCTCCGGGTCTTGCTTTTGATCCGCTCCTCCACAACCAGCTGCCAGCTGGGAGCCACAGCATTGCCAGGCTGAGAAATAGCTAGTGCTGGTGAACACGAGGTGCCAGAAACAGGGGGACCATGCTGGGAAAGCCTCTGGAGGCTCCGTGGCCGAGACAGTGCCTGGGCAGCCAGAACAAGAACCTAGAGGAGAGAGAAGTGGATGGCAGAGAGGTTCAGGGTACTCACTGTCCTTGCTGAGGACTCAGATTTGGTTTCCAACACCCACACATCTTTTCTGGTTTCCACAGACACTGCACATATATGGTGCACTAACATACGTGCAAACAAAACATCCACATACATAAAATAAAAACTAAAATGTTTAAAACAACTCAGGACAGTATGTGGCTCTGGGAAAGGATGGTCTTCTAAAAATGGAGTAGCAGCCAAGTACTCACAAAGCTCTGCAGCCCTGTTAAAGGAACTGGGTCCCCATCCTAAGTACTCATGATCTGAGCTTCGCGCGGGGGCAGGAGGTGAGATGAGTGCTCCCTCACAATGAATGGCTGGACCAATGTACTGTACTTTTTCTCAAACTCACCAAATTTCACCCCTACCTTGCTCCCTTCCCCAAGGAACTCAGCTTCACGGAAAGAGGAATAGAGAAAGGGAATAAAATGAAGCCTGCGCTTGCCACATGTGGAAGACTCAGCAGCACCGTATGCAGCAAAGGAAGCCTGTCAAAGGCCGCACAGCTGCCTGTTCTGCTTATGCGAAGGACTTAGAACAGGGAAATCCAGACAGAACAGAACGGTAGAGAGAGGGTTGGAAAGTGGATGCTACTGCGACCACACAGGGTAATGGCGATGTTCTGGAACGAGGTGATACAGCAGAGCTGGATTAGAAACATGAATTTTTTGCCAGGCCCATGGACACACCGTCTATTATCCTAGCTACTCAGGAAGCTAAAACAGAAAGATCAAAGTTCAAAGCCAGCCTAGGCAACTTAGGAATTCCCTGCTTCAAAATAAAAGGCAAAAAGAAAACCTGGGAGCCAGAGAGATGGCTCAGCTGCTAAGAGTCCTTATTGCTCTTGCAGAAGACCCAGGTTCTGTTCCCAGCACCCAAGTAACAGCTTGTAACTCTTCCGACCTCCATGGGCTCCTGTATGCACATGGTCACATATATGCACACAAGCACACATACATACACAGGGTTTCTCTATGAAACAATCCTGACTGTCCTGGAACTCACTTTGTAGACCAGGCTGGCTTCAAAGTCACCGAGATCTGCCTGCCTCTGCCTCCCAAATGCTGGGATTAAAGGCATGCACCATCACCGCCTGGCAATTTTTTTTTTCTTAAAAGACAATGGTGTAGTTGTGCATGCGTTTAATTCTAGCACTTGGGAGAAAGAGACAGGTTGATCTGTGAGTTCAAGGCCAACTAGGACTATACAGTGAGACCCTCTCTCAAAAAATAAAAAAAAAAGAGGAAGGAAAAGAAACTGCAGAAGGCTGAGGGTACAGTTCAGAGATGATAGTTTGTCTAGCATGCACGATCCCAGGACCACAAAAATGCTGTTTCCTGTCTTATTTACTGTTGATAAGTAGATAAATTTTACCACTTTATGTATTCTTGTGAATACATATGGATTCAGATGCATGTCTATGTGCACACGCAGTCAGAGGTTGGTACTGTGTGTCATGTCTGGTTGTTCTCCACCTTAATCTTGAGGCTGAGTCCCTCACTGAGCCTGGAGTTCCCCATCTCAGCTGCTGGCCAGTGAGCTATACGGATTCTCCTTTCTCTGCCACCCTATGAACGCCAGTATTTGTTCAGCAAGCACTTTATGGACTGAGCCATCTCCTCAACCTTGATGGCACCCACTCTTTAAGAGTTCAGAGGCTGCCAGGTGTTATGGTACACCTTTAATCCCAGCACTCAGGAAACAGAGGCAGGTGGATCTCTGAGTTCCAGGCCAGCCAGAGCTAAAGGGTGAGACCCTTGAGTTCAGTTGCCCTGAGCACGGGATCACCCCTGGGAACTCTCACTATCATTCACTCCAGAGCTTTCTGTCTCCTGAAACACCAATCCCTTGGGCCCTGGGCCCTGGCAACCACCTCTCGGCACTATCTCTGAGAATACACGATTCTAGATAGTTTACTACTCAACAGCCTTGCCACACGCAGTCCTTTTACACAAGATTTTTTTTTTTTTTTTTTTTTTTGGTTTTTCGAGACAGGGTTTCTCTGTGGTTTTGGAGCCTGTCCTGGAACTAGCTCTTTATAGACCAGGCTGGTCTCGAACTCACAGAGATCCGCCTGCCTCTGCCTCCCGAGTGCTGGGATTAAAGGCATGCGCCACCACCGCCCGGCTTACACAAGATTTTTAAGGGCTGTCTGTGCTTAGCAGGTACAAGAACTTGTTTACAGAAGGATCACACTCAACCATACAGGGTTGGTTTCTCTGGTAATGAAAAATTTCATGTTGTATAAAAACATACCAATATAATTGTTATCCAAAATACATAAACAAGGATGGTAAGAGTTAGTGGTCAAGAGTGCCTGGTGCTTTTGTAGAGGACTAGAGTTCAATCCCCAGCACCAGTGCTGGGTGGCTCTCAACCACCTGTGACTCCAACTCCAAGGAAGCCAGCGCCCTCTTCTGTCCTCCACAGGCACTGCATACAGTATTCAATACTCAGACACATGCATATACACATGAACACAAAGACAAAACACAGAAACGGCCAACAAGATGATTCAGAAGGTAGGTGCACACACACACACACACACACACACACACACACTAATAAATAAAAACTCTTTTAAAGCCACACAAACAAAAGAAAATACTGTCGCCAGCTCTCAGCCCCATACTGGTGAACCTGTGGTCAGCAGGCAAAAGTGCCTCTCACATCCCTGTTGGGGAAGGCCGCTTGTTCGTTCCCGGCTGCCCAGACCACGAAATAATCACACAGAAACTATATTAGTTGCAATATTGTTTGGCCAATAGCTTCAGTGTATTTCTGTCTTACTCTTATATCTTAAATTAACCCATTCTATTAATCCGTGTATCACCACGTGGGTGTGGCTTACTGGTAAGGTTCCTGCGAGTCTGTCTCTGGCAGAGGCTACATGGCTTCTTCCTGACTCTGCCTACTCTCTTCTCTATCTGCTTGGAATTCCCACCTTGCCCTATTCTGCTAAGCCACTGGCCAAAACAGATTTATTCATTAACCAATGAAAGCAACAAATAGGCAGAAGGACTTCCCACACCACATCCCACCAAGGAAGCTTGGGGTGACCTTTGTCCACAGTCCCTATAGGTCAACCTCCCAACTTAAGGCAACCTGGGCCTGACAGGGACAGGGAGGGGTCTAAGTCACTTACATCCAGGATGTCCATGCGCTGCCGCAGGCTATAGTTCAGGCCATAGAACTGTGAGGTCAGATACTTGGCTACCTAAGTAGGTAAAGGAGAAGCCACTATGCTCAGGCTCCAAGATTACCCAAGGGCCCAACCTGGGCACAGAATGGGGCCACCAGGGCAATTTCTGATGCTCCTGGTTTGACTAGGGTCATGCTAGGACTTACCTGCTCTGGGTCTGTGACTGTGACAGCCACCAGAGCTCTCTGCCGCAGTTGTTCAAAGTCTGCCAAGCAGGTCTTCTCTTCCAGGTGCAGTAGCACCTTGGCCAGCTCCACGCTCACCTGCACAGGGCCAGGAATCAGGATGCCTTCAGCCCCATATGCCCAATTAACAATCCAGTGCCACCCTCTAAGATCTAGGATACAGCCAGGTGGTGGTGACACACACCTTTAATCCCAGCACTTGGGAGGCAGAGGCAGGTTGGATCTCAGTGAGTTCAAGGTCAGCCTGGTCTACAAAGCAAGTTCCAGGACAGCCAAGACTGTTGTTACACAGAGAAACCCTATCTCAAAAAACTAAAAAAACAAATAACAACAACAACAAAAAAAAAATGCTGGGCAGTGGTGGCGCACACCTTTAATCCCAGCACTCGGGAGGCAGATCTCTGTGAGTTCGAGGCCAGCCTGGTCTACAAGAGCTAGTTCCAGAACAGGCTCCAAATCTACAGAGAAACCCGGTCTGGTTGGGGGGGAGGGAGGGGGGACAGACAGATCTAGGATACAGATGCTACAAGCAGACCTGCCCCTGCCACTTCAGGACTCCCCACCCTCACTCCCACTCCCCACCCCTGCCCCCACTTACCCAGCCACATCCTCTTACTGCTCACCTCCCGAGTGGCCTCAGGGCTCCTGTAAACCAGGCCCTCAAGCACCATTAGGGCTCCCTCCCAGCGCTCCACGTCCTCAGATGTGGTCAAGGCTGCACAGAACCCAGACAAAGCTTGATTAAGTCCCAGCACTGACCCTCACTCCAGTGTGCCCAGAGTGTCACAGTGAGGCCAGACAGGTAGCTCTAGGACAAGGTGAAGTGGGGCCAGGGCCAGGTATTGGTGGGGTAAGCACAGTAAAACCCACCTTCCACACAGTCTCGGATATACAGGGGTTCCTTGCTGCTCTTCAGCTCTTTGTCCCCTGACATATCATAGGGAATGAACTCATCATCGCTGTAATAAGAAAAACAGATAGAATCTGTCCATCCCCAGTGAGGATTCAGGTGCCTCTTTATTTTTGACTCCTCAAGGGTAAGACCCTGGAGATACTAAAATTCCCTCCCAAGAGCCCGAGACCTGTAGGAGATGGGCATGTGGAAGAGCAGATGGCACTGCCTCAGACGAGCAAGTGGGGAGTGAACTAGGAAACCAGCACCTATGCAAGGAACACCTTGCATATGATCAGCCTCCTCCACACATGACCAGAGGGCCACCTCAGCCAACCCCTAGACCACAGAGGCCAAGGAACCCTGCCCTACCTGTCGAGCTCTGAGTCAGAGCCCTGCGGCTGAGCTGGAGGCACATCACTGGCCACTGTCTTTTCAGGTGTCTCTACAGGGGTCTCCATGGCAACTGGAGCCAGGGATGGACCTCTAGGAAACAAGAAACAGCAAGGGTCACCCAGGTTAGCCTAGCACACCACATAGCCCAGAAAGGTTTCTATCATCTGCCCATGTCTCCTCTAACTTCTGTCGGAAGGACTCAGGATGGGGACCGGGAACATGGAGACCCTCACCCTGTCTCCGAGGAGCAGGCGCCCGCAGGTCGGGGTGTGGCCAAGGCCAGCATCTCCCGGCTCATCTCGTCATCTTCATACTGTTGCAGATACACTGGAGTCAGTGAGGCCCATGGCCGTGGATGCCGCCTCAGCCACAGTCAGTCACAGCCAGCCCTCAGTCACATGCCACTCCATCTCGGTTAGCAGCCTGGCCTCAGATAGCCATTCACCTTTTCTAAAGCAGCTTCTGATGCCCACCTCAAGCTAAGCACAGTGCCTGATGTGCTGAGCCTAGGAGCCTCTCCCTCCTTCAGGATTTGGAGACCCTTGACTGCTGACAGGGCTCAGCAGAGGCTACATCTATAGACTCACAGTTAAGCCACGTGGCGCCCAACACAGTCAAGGCCTGTACTGTCCAACCTGGTAGTGCCCATGCCAATCAGTGGTCAGTAGAGAATACGCCCCCTATGCACTCCCAGCCCAGAGCAGCCCTACTGTCCACAGGGTTCAGTGCACCCAGGGCCAGCAGACCAAATCCAGGCAATGGTTCCTTCACCCGTCTAACCAATCGGGGAATACATTTTGGGGAATACGCTCTCACAGACTTGGTCCTGACCACATACAGACCCACTTCTGCCACCACCCACGGGAGCCAGAGTGCTCTGCACACTGAGCCCTGGCCCTCCACCACAGGATACTCCTCGATCCTAGACCCCCGAAGAGCGAGGAACTTGAGGAGCAGGTCTATCAGCAAAGGAGCCCCGGAGCCCCGTTACCTGGAGGACATAGATAAGATAGCCTGCTCACTTGGAATTTCAGCTGAGGCCCCTCAGGATGGATCCTGGAGCTGATGACCTCGGCCACAATCATGCCCAAGCGACGCACAGGGGGCAGGCTGCTGTCGAGACGGCACTTCACACCTGCCATCATGCTGGCCAGCAACTCTTAAAGCAGCAGACATGAGAGTCCTGAAGGGCTCCTCAGTGTCAGGGGTGGGGTGTGCCCACGCCACGGCCCGCTTACCATCCCAGATGTCCTGCAGCTCCGACGCCCCGAGGTGTGCCAGGCAGACCAGGATGGCCTTACTGATGTAGTGCTGCTGCTCCAGGGGTGCGTGACGGACAGCACTGCTGTTGCCCCATGTCTCTAGCAGCTCCTGAAGCACCTGGCAACCAGCAGAGCCTCAGCCTGGCCAGGCAGCAGCTACCCTACCCACAGCCACCCAAGTCTCAGGTCAGAGTAAACACTCTCCTAAGGGGTTCAAGCATAAATGAAGCTGGACCCCAGCCTTCCCGTTAGAAGATACTCTCTCTATTGTCTTTCTCCCAAGACCACCACAGGCTTAGTGGGTCAAGTGGTACTTACCTGTATGAGGAGTGGCCGCCGCTGACTGTCTAAAGCCAGGTACCCCAGCAGGCTCTGCAGCATGGGTGTCTACAACAAAAGTGGGTCCTGTCTACCAGGCAGGGACTGCTCCCTGCCTGCCCTACAGGGCCTTCGAAGCTGAAGAAGAGGAATAGGATGAACGGAGCTGCCAAACTCCAGCCTCCCACAAAACCAGAGAGCAAGCTTCCCTCCCAGGCTTACCGCCACAACACCGCCAGTTTCAGCTGGTAATTGTTCTACTTTTCATTTCAACCAAACTTTTAAAATTCAATGAGTTATTTGTCAAATGCAGACTTTCTGGCTCTCATGGTAGAGGAGACCTTCAATGCTGGCCTCTCAGCCCAGATGCACAACAGCATCCTGTGTCCCACTGCAGCTGTCTGGGCTGCTTCTTTTACTAAGACCTGGAGTCTGTCTCATCTTACAGTGTGTGTGTGTGTGTGTGTGTGTGTGTGTGTGTGTGTGTGTACATTACAGAGTCCAGAAGAGTGTTAGGTTCCATGGAATATCTATGAGTTCGAGACCAGCCTGGTCTACACAGTGACAAAGTGAGTTCCAGGACAGCCAAGTCTACACAGGGAAACCCTGTCTCAAAACAACAACAACAACAAACAAACAAACAAAACCCCTCCATCTCCATTCCCAATATTCCTCATTCCTCTCCCTTTCTCTGCCTCCTACTTTCAGATCACGGTGTAAGCTCTCAGCTGTTCCGGCCACCACGCCTTAGCTCTGCCAACATGGACTAATTAACCCTCTGAAACCATAAGCCCAAATAAACACTTCTTTTATAAGTTGCTTTGGTCATGGTGTCTTATCATAGCAATAGAAAAGTAGCTAAGACAGCTGGGCTTAAACTCAGGTCCTCTTGCTTGTATGTCAAAAGCAACTCTTCTAGCCCCATCAGTTACCCCTCTTTTCACAACTCTTTCTTTCCTCTTTCTTTCTTTCTTTCTTTCTTTCATTTCTTTCCTATTTCTAAGTCCACAGCCTTGTCATGCAAGAGTGACTGCATGAAGTTTTCTCTGGCCCTTGCATCATCCCACTGACTGGTTTATGGTCTGACTTTAGAACAGAGCATTGGATTCAGGAATAGACAGCTTGGGTGTTCATTCACCAGAAGTCCGGGGGAATATCTCTGCCTGTTCACCTAGAACTGCACCGTCCACCTGCCCCCTTGGAGGATGGCTCAAGTGTTAGGTGCCTCCATCCCTTCTTGTGTACACTGCTGTTGTGCCCAGCTGCCCACTCATGTTGCTGGGAGAACTCTCCAGGGCTCCTCTCCGAGCTCCACTACATGAGTGGGTGAGAGACACTTCAGTTTCCCTCTGGCTCCTCTGCACAGGAGCCAGACAGTCCGACTAGCTCATCTCTGCTCAGACTCCCACCCAACCAGCCTGGCCTTACCATCCATCCTCTTTCTCTCTCACCCACTGCCAGCTCAGGCCAGTCTGGACAGCCAATCAGCTAGCTCACTGGTGGGTATTCCCGTTCTCAGAGGCCTCCAGCCCACCCAGACAAATCCTCAGAGCCAGACCTGCTCCAAGCCATCCTCCTGCTTGACTGCCCCCTGGTGCCAGCACTCGCTGTGTCACCCTGTGTATTAACTGTCCTGCGTGGGCAGCATCTGCTCCCTTTCCTGTAATGAACTTAGGATGAGGAGTGAAGGGGCTCTTCTGTCCAGAGTGGATGCTCAGTACCCAAGGTAGAGCCCAGCTTACAAAGAAACACTGAATGAGAAGGTGAGCAAGAGGATATAGTGGGCGCCACCATTGCTCGACCTCTGCTGTTTTCCACTCTAGATGTGTCCCACTCCTCGTCCTCCCCTGCTCTGACCTATGGCCAGCTCCGAGTCAGCGCTCCAAGGCACATGGACAGCAGCAGTCACGGATGAGCCCTGATGCACAGAATGGAGATGGTAGGGGCACCATCCAGGTAGTACGGGGATCTAGAGATATGTGACATGTTCACTTGGTTCCTGGGATGCTGCAGAGCTCAGAAATGGCTGGAGGGGTCTACCGTTTTGCTGACATCTCCTAGGTAACTGCTGTCCAACCACACTTATATCGTTTTGATTTCCCGTGGTGCTGAGGGTAGACAGAATACAGCGCCATGCCTGCTGAGCACACTCCTTTTCTTCTTTTTTAGGGTCATTGAGACAGGGGCAGGCTGGGCTCGAACTTTCTGTGTAACTGGAGATGACCTCCTGATATTCTGTCTCCACCTCTCAATATGCCTAGCCCCCCTTACTCCTATTTTTTCTTTTTCTTTTACTTGTTTTAGTCAAGATCTCACTATGTAGACCAGACTGGCTTTGAACTCAGAGATTCAAGTGCCTCCACCTCTGGAGTGCTGAGATTAAAGGAGTGTGTCATGCACTCAGTTCCCCTTACTCCACATTTAGTAGCAATCTTCCTGTGACTTGGAAGGCCTGCAGGCCCCACCCTGCCTGGTTTCTCACCGTGTGCTGGTACTGCAGGAACAGAAGTTTCCGGGTCATCACAAACTGCGCTTTCTTGTTCTTTACCACCAGGTTCCCCAGCAGCCGGGACAAGACTTCAGGCCTGTGGGGCAGATGTGGGAAGTGGCTTCAAAGGGAAGGATAAGGAAAAGCAAACAGTATGGTGCCCTGTGTCCAGCCACCTGCTCGCTCCAGAGTTTGGCTGAGCCCTTCCATGACCTGAATTGGTCCTTAATCTTTCCTCTTCCCAGAATGAATGCGAACACCCATGGAAAGCCTAGACCCCACATCAGAGCCGACAGGACCAACCCAAAATGGGGGTCCTTCCCTGCTCTGCCAAGGCCAGGGATGAATGCTTCTTTAGGGCAGGGTAGCACACCTTTGCTGCTAAGGGCCAGAAGTATACTTTTAAACAGGTTTACTCTCCAAAGCAGTCAACTCTAGGAGTGGCTGAAAAGAGCCCTAGACGAATGTGTCAATGAATGGGCATAGAAATTTACCTAATAAAACTTTATTTACAAAAACCCACCAGCCTGACTTGGCCCATAACAACAATTTGCAGAACCCCAAGCCGGACTACTTCCTTCAGAAAGGAAGATTATGGCCATCTGCCTCAGCCACACAGACAGAACAGCAGGGTTCCTCCACACTCATTACTTCTTTTTATTACATGTATTTGTGTGTGTGAGTGCATGTGTGTGCATCCATGTTTGTGTATGTTTCAGTATGTGTATATCTGTGTGTGTGTCTGTGTATGTATATGTCTGTGTTTGTCTGTGTCTGTCTGTGCATCTGTGTGTGTCTCTGTGCATGTGTATCTGTGTGTGTGTCTGTCTATGTCTGTGTGCATGTGCATGTCTTATCATGCATACCATGGAAGTCAGGAAAACAACTTGGAAGAACTGGTTATCTCCTTCCACCATGTGGAACTTGGGGATGAAACTCAGCCTTGATAGCAAGTGACTGTACCTGCTGAGTCAGCTCACCAGCCCCGGTTGTTATATCAAATCCCACACAAAGGCCTGCATGGTAGCACACACAATCCCAGAACTTGTTAGGCAGAGGTAGGCAGATCTCTGACTTGAGGCCAGCCTGGTCTACATAGCAAGTTCAGGCCAGCCAGGAATACATAGTGAGATTCTGATTTAAAGAAAGGAAAACAATTCCACATAAAGTCATAAAGGCCAGGGCTGTGAATATGGTTCCATAGGTGAAGTGCCTGCTAGACAGCATGAGGCCCCGAGTTAATCCCCAGAACCACTAGAAAAAGCCAGGCATGATGGCACATACCTATATATACAGAACCAGAAAGGGTCCCTGGGACTCAGTGAGTCCAGGTTCAGTGAGAAAAATCTGTGTCAAAAATGAGATAGACAGCTCTTGAGGACCGACACCTGAGGTTGACCCCTGGTTTTCATATGGTTGTGCACACATATCTGCACATGCACTAGCATGCACACACATGAAAATTTTAAATTTTTAAAAAAATTCAAAGAGACACAAAGGCTTGGAAAGAAGGAGGGGACCCCTAAAAATTTGAGAAACCAAACCTATGTAAACTGACATATGGCTTTAGCACAGGAAATAGATACACAGAAGACAGTCCAATGGACAAACAAGATTCAGAAACTAAAGTGGAGCTGGCATTCATAGTGCATGCCCGTAATTCCAACACCTGGGTGGTGAGACAGAGAGGTCAAGAGTTCGAGTCCATCTTCAACCACACATCACGTGTGAGGTCAACTTGAAACAAAACAAACAAGGAACCCACAGAACTCTAGGTGGTGCTCTGATGACGGCCCCGTGGATCTCCCAGGACAGAGCCCAGAGTTTATGGGGAAGCTATTACAAGCACACCGGGACCCCACCATGAACAAGCAAGGGACATCGGTGAACACCTACAACCAAAGAATGCAAAGCCAGCGCTGAGTGCTGCTCTGTGCAGAGAGGGATGCTGGGAGCCAGGTGAGCTAGCACTGCGCTCAGAGCATTCAGCCAGCCCAGCAGGCCTGCTCCCACCAACAACCCAGAGAGTCACTCCACACACACGAAGATGAGTAGACACTAACACAGCTCAGTGAACATCACAGGGGTCAGAGTACCCACAACAAAGAATGAGCAATGGGAGCCCAGTGAAGGAAGGACAGCAGGCACAAGATGGGGACTGGGCTCACAACCAATGGCCAGTCTGAAAATGCAATGCTGAGACAGGATGGACCACCCAAACTGTATAGGGCATGGACTCTAGTATTGCACCCAGGAGAGCAGCACAGGGAATGGCAGCAATGGTGGCGTCTACCCTGACATCCTGAGAAACACTGGCTTGGAGAGGACCTGGCTGCTTACCTGGGAGCAGCCTCTACAAGCCCTGTCAGTACAGCCTCCACTGCCCGGTCAGGTACTTGCTCCACCAGCCGCCAGCACACCCGCTGCCACAGACAGCTCTCTTGGGTGAGCATTGTCAGTTGGGGCACCAGTACGCCCAGAATCTCTTCTGCGGGGACAAAGAGGCCCTAAGCTTCAGGAGTCACCCTCAGCCAGGGGGCAACAAGGGTGCCCAATGTCCACAGCTCCATAAGCTCACAGGCATGGGCAACACCCAAGTGAGGGAACCCCACTGAGGTCAAGGGTCAACTTACATGTCACTGTATGGAAACATACAGTGTACATCTGTACATGATTCTCACCCTCCAAAGGGTGAGCAGGGTATCGGGGACCACTCACTTTTTCTCCCTTGGATGCAGGCCTTCCCCAAGACTCGAGACACGAAGGAGACAGAGCAGTCTAGGCCACCTGGAATGCAAAGCAAGATCTGACGGTAAAAGAGGTCAGCAGGATAAAATTAAGGACATCTGACTAAGTATACAGACCTTATGCTTAGCTGCCAGGTCAGCCATGGAAACTCCAGCTATTTGGGGTGAATGTGCATATCTAACACGGGAGAAAACCTAAATAGAGCTGTCTTTAGCTTGAAAATCTAGTAGTAATATGCTTTAAAAGTATCACACACATCATCTCAACCAGCAAAAGGACTCTGCCTACATCACTGAAGAGGCACCAGAGGGGTTCTGGATTAGGAGCCAACTACAGAAGCAGAACGGGGCTCTGGGGAGGCTAAAGACACCTCAGTGGCCACTGCCCACAAGGTCTCCCTCCTTGGCGAAGAAGGAGGCATGAGAAAGTCAAGAACAAGGAGGAGATGGGGTGGCAGCCTCCCATTAGTAGAGCTGAGACGATAGCACCTTCCAGAAAACAGACATGGACCCAGACACACCGTTACCTAAGGACAAACACTTAAGAACTTGCAAGGACGGAATCCAAATCAAACCAAGATGAAACAAAAAAGACCAGAAATTGGTTGCTGGAAAAATCTAGGGACAACAGAGGCTTGGGCCAGGTAGAAACCATGCCAAAGCTCTAGCGGCCCAGCTTCCTCTGGAGTCACATGGGTAAGGAACACAGGAGCTGTCAGGGTGCTGGGTTGAGCCCATGGAAGCAAACCAAAGTGGAAACTCAGCTAGGAGCAGGCTGAAAGACTGCAGTCAGAGTAGCTGCAGTTAAGCTGAGGTATGGCTCAGACTGGAGTGTGCACCATGGTGAGCACAAAAAGGAAGAGGCCAAGGTTCAAGTCAGTCAGTCATGGCCTGTATCTAACATCCACTAACCAGGAATCACAATGGCTCTTCCCCAATACTCTCTCTCGAGGTATATACCCAGGAAAGCCAGTTGGAATGTCCCAGAGAAGGCAGAGCTAACTATGGAGACCCACAGGGTGGTCCCTAGAGATCTGTGAGTGACGGGCAGTCCCCGTAGTGCCACATAAACATGTAAAAGCATATGCCCTCAGATCCAAGAGCAGCCAATACACAGTGGGCACTCAAAGCCACCACCAGTGAAGACACAGACATCAGACTCAAGTAAGCAAGAAAGTGGACCTCAGCAAAGAAGGAAGGGCAGCTTCTAGGACATACAAGTGACTGGGTAGGAAAAGTAGGTCTCAATCCAACTAAGAACTAAAGGAACCCAGGGTCATACCCAACTCTCCAAAATCAAAAGCCAAAAGAGAGATGGAACTCCATCAGGTGGTGAACCTGTCTGAACCAGGACGGCATCTAAGCTACCTGACAGTCCCACCCCAACTCTTAAGGCCCCACAGGCTTTCAGAGTCTTACTTCAAGGGGAGGGAGAAAATAAAGGCCTGGAGAGATGCTGGGGCAGGGTGCTCACCTTGGAGAAAGCTCACAACTGCCTTTAGTGCTTGCAGAACCTCCTGGCCAAGCAGAGGGAAGTAGTTCTGGGGGAAGAACGGAGTCAGGTTGTCCTGCTGGAGACAGTTGCCCAGGTGGTCAGGCAAACCCACCACCTTGCTGAGCAGCGTCTCCTGGACTAGGAAGAAGCTGGGCTTTGTCTGCGGGCGACACTGCTCCTCCATGAGAGCCGCCAGTCTGCCCTTGCTCAGAAACATCTCCAGCAGCCGAGCCATCTTCATCAGACGGAAGCTGGGGCTAAAGAGAAGCAAGAGTGTAGGGTGGAGCCCCGGTCTCCTCTAGCCTAGCGTCCCCGCAAGAATCAGTCCCAGACTCAGGGAGACGGCCCTGAAAGCCTGAGAAACTAAGTTTGATCCCCAAACCCACATAAAAAAGCCAGCTGAGGCCAGCATAGAGGCACACACCTTTAATGCCGGCATACAAGAGGAAGTGGGAGAATCTCTGTGAGTTAAGAGCCAACCTGGTCTACATAGTGAGTTCAAGCGACAGTCAGAACTACAAAGTGAGACCCTGTCTCAACTCCTCCGATGCCCCCCACCAAAGAAGAAAAATAGGTGAGGTGACAAGTGCTTGGAGTCCAAGCTCCGGGGACACAGAGACAGCCTACTCTAATTGGCAAGCTCCTGGTAGGTGAGACCCCCATCTCAAGAAACAAGAGGCTGGGCATGCATGCCTTTCATTCCTGCACTCTGGAGGCAGAGAGACGAGAATCTCTGAGAGTTCAAGTCTGGTCTAAAAGTTCCAGGACAGAGCCGGGCGGTGGTGGCGCACGCCTTTAATCCCAGCACTTGGGAGGCAGAGGCAGGCGGATCTCTGTGAGTTCGAGACCAGCCTGGTCTACAAGAGCTAGTTCCAGGACAGGCTCCAAAACCACAGAGAAACCCTGTCTTGAAAAACCAAAAAAAAAAAAAAAAAAAAAAATTCCAGGACAGCCAGAGCTGCATAAGAGAGACCTTATCTCAAAAAGACCAAAAAAACAAAACAAAAAATTAGTCCCAACAACTTCATAAGACTTCATAAGCATTTACGTTTGAACTCATCAGCTGAAGAAAATACTTAATTCCACTGCTAAATAGCCAGTTACTAGTAGGCTGTCCCCCTGAGCCCTGGACAGACACCATCGTTTCTTCCTTCTCTCGGCACTGTGCTTGCTTGGATCACAGAAGTGGTTGCTTTGAGACTTTATTTCGTGAGTAGGTGTTTTTTCCTGCAGGTATGTCTGTATACTAGATGTGTGCATTGCCTGTGGGGGAGAGGGCTTCAGATCCCCTGGAACTGAGTTACAGACGTTTGTGAGCAGCCTTTGTGGGTGCTGATAACTCAGCCCAAGTTCTCTGGAAAAGCAACCAGCATTCTTAACCTCGGAGCCACCTCTCCAGTCCCCACCACAGCAGATTCTAAAAACCCAGCTTCTCAAAGCCACTGCATCCTCCCAGGGATCCACTAGACTGGATGTAGAGCCCAGGACTAGGGGTCCATGGCAGCAACATGAAAGCTAGCCATTTAAAACCCGGAAATTGTTGGCTGGCGGTGGCACACGTCTTTAATCCCAGCACTTGGGAGGCAGAGACAGGTGGATCTCTGTGAGTTTAAGGCCAGCTGGGTCTACAGAGCAAGTTCTAGGAAGGACAGTCAGGGCTACACAAAGAAACCCTGTCTCAAAAAACTAGATAAAAATAAATAAAAACCCAAAATGTCCTGTGATGGTCCTGAGAGTGCTATAAAATAAAGGGTAGGGCCGGGCGGTGGTGGCGCATACCTTTAATCCCAGCACTCGGGAGGCAGAGGCAGGTGGATCTCTGCGAGTTCGAGACCAGCCTGGTCTACAAGAGCTAGTTTCCAGGGCAGGCTCCAAAGATGCAGAGAAATACTGTCTTGGAAAAACTAGATAGATAGACAGACAGGCAGACAGATAAAAATTTAAAAAGGGTAGGTCCAGAAGAGGACAGCGAGTGACCAGCCGAGTGACCAGCTCCCTTTCTGGTGCCAGCTGGGGGTGATGGAGACCCTCTGAGTCGCTGATTTGCTCCTGCTATCTGCAATGTGGACCCTGCTCTTCCTGCCAGCCTCCAACAAGAGGGAGTGAGGCTAGGCTAAGATGCAGGGGTCCTTCCCCTTTCAGAGCTGAGCACAGCTACACTCAGTTCTAAAGCATTAGGTCCCTTCTCAGAACTTAGGCGCCCTGTTGCTCACAAGCTGCTCACCCAGCAGTGCTCTCGATGGCCTCCATCAGCACCAGGAAGGCTTGGTCTGGGGGGCCGTCCAGGAAGAAGCTCTCCCAAAGCCGCTCCAGCTGGCCATCGGGGGATAGCTCTAGCCAACCTGGACTCAGCTTGCTGACCAGACATCTGAGAACGGCTGAGAAGTGGATGGTGGTAAACTCTTCCTTCTCAGGGAGAGTTGGATCCTCGGTTCCACCCAGGTACCGCTTCAGGGTCCCCAAGGTGGAGAGGATGTGGCCCACATCCTCTGAGGATGAAAGGGTGTGAATGGCTTCTTGTACGGTGAGTCGGACAGCAGACAGTGCTGGGTCCATCTTGCAAGGCAGGGCTGAGGGACCCAGAAAAGCAGGGTGAGAATCTCAGAATTTCTCCCCGTAGCACCCACGAAGGACTCGGCTAAGGATAGAGGAGGCTTGGCTCCAAATCCAAGAAATGCCACCAGCCCTCTTTTGCGCTCCCTGGCGCCTCACGCGGTCCCTGCCTTCGGGTTCCCCGCTTTCCGGGTGGTCTGACAGGGCTTGTGCCCGTTAGGAACAGTACCCGTACCCCGGGGGCTGTCTCCTCTGTCAAGCTCGCTGGTATTTGGGTGAATGAGTGGCTCACCAGGCAGCAGCAAACCCCAGCGTCTGCAGCTCCAGGTGATCACCCAGCCTTCTAAACACGAGGTCCTGGGCTAGCACGGAAGCTGGCCATCCCGCAGGGCCGTCACCAGTGCAGACTCAACCGGACCAACCACTCCCACAGGGTTCCTCCGGCCCCCAGGCTTCAGAGTGACGGCCGCGTGCTCACTCACGCGCGCCGCTGATTCGCCACGGCACAGGGACCACGCGTCCCGTTCAGTGCCAGCCGAGGGTAGCCGTGAGTTCGAGTCCCAGAACTCGCGTGGAACTAGGAAAAATATTAGTTTCTGGATCTGATGCCTATGAGGAGCTCGGGAAGAATCCGCGCAGCGCCGGCGCGCTGGTGACCGCAGCACCTGCGCCTGCGCAAGAGGAGGAGGCGTGGCCTAAGAACCTGGGGCGGGCAAGGCCTGAGGGCTGGGCTGGGGTGGGGATGCTCGCCTTCTTCCCTTCCCTGACGCCTGCTGTCTGTTTTCCCTAATTCTAGAGTTGCCCTCCCAGCACCCTGTCCACCTGGGTCCAGTGACTTTCCACCGTAGAGCTGGCCTTCTGAGGACGACACTAACCCTCGGTTGGGGCTGTCAAGGAAACGAGAATAAGAAAGGCAAGAAGAGCAAACCTAGACAAGTTGCGATGCTGATGCGTGCAGTGGGCGCTCAAGGCTGCATTGTTTAATGCGAACCCACAAACCGCCAGGGGTCCTGGCTGCCGCCTGCCTGCCTGAACAGTACAGTATCCATCACCGCAGAACTTCTCTTGCTCACCGGATCCGCCTGGGGCAATATCTCAGAGCTTAAAAGTAGTTGCTGCTCTTGCAGAGGTCGCAGGTTCCAGTTCCCAACACCTATGGAAAGTGATGCTAATCAGCTAGCCAAGATCTTTTTTCTCTACACAGAAAAAACAAACAAACAAACAAAAAAAAACCTGTAGATAATCAGAGAAGTTTTTTTTAAAAAACTATCTTTTTCTCATTTTACATACCAACCCCTCCCCTCCTCTGCCCAACCATTCAACTGTCACCCACATTCAGAGGGCCTAGTTTGGACCTGTGCTGGTTCCCTCACTGCCAGGCCAGAGTAAGCTCAGGTAAGCTGTTTCAGTGGGTGTCCCCGTCATGATCTTGACCCCTTTGCTCATATTCTCACTCCTCCCACTCTTCAACTGGACTTTGGGAGCTCAGTCCAGTGCCTCTGTTTCCATTAGTTGCTGGATGTAGGTTCTATGATGACATTTAAGACAGTCATAAATCAGACAACTGAGAAGGCCAATTCAGGTCCCCTCTCCACTATTGCTTAGGGTCTTAGCTGGGGTCATCCTTGTGGATTCCTGGGAATATCTAGCCCCATAATGGCTCCCTCAATCAAGTTATCTCTTTTCTTGCTCTCCGTCTCTGTCCTTCCCCCATCTCAACCATCCTGTTCCTGCAAGTTCTCCTCTCCTTCTCCCCTATCCCCTCTCCACTCCTCCCTTTCTGCCTTCCTTCCCCCCACCCCATGCTCCCAATTTTCTCAGGAGATCTTTCTGTTTCCCCTCCCCAGGGGGATCTATGTATGTTTCTCTTAGGGTTCTCCTTGTACTTAGCTTCAAAGAGAAGGTCTTCAAGTCTACCTTTTATTTCCCTCAGTGAGGGGTGACAGGCGGCTCCCCTAATGTTAGGGGCCTGGAAGCATTGGGTGCCTTAACCCTAAAAGTGTTCTAGCTCTTGTTTGGGGTGTCTCGGCCCTTTCCTGTGGCTAGTGTAGCTTCCACCATGCAGGCCTGGGCTATTATTGTGGGGACTTTTGACAGCTTTACTGTTTTTTGTAGACCTTAACTCTTTTATATTTTGACAGCAGTGTTCTGATTCTTGGCCTCTTGGCTCTTTGGAGCTCTTCTGGCATCCACGGCTGCAGCTTCGCGTCTGGTTTAGTCGTCTCTCCTCGTTCAGTCTCAGTCCTCTGCTCCCTCTTGATGCCTCAGCTACTGCTTCTGCAGCTGTCACAAAACTGGCTCTCCTGCCCCATTTGCAGCTTGGCCTGCCTACTGCCTTTCTGCTGCTTCTTTCTTCAGGATACCAGCTCAACCCACATGGATGATGGTACGTAAGCAAAGCCTCAGGAGAAGACGTTTGCTGAACCTAAATCTACCACAGAAAGGGAGGCAGCGCAGGATCATCTCTCCCAAGGTGAACCTGAGTAGCTGCTTTCAAAGCCTAAAAGGGGCGCTTCCTCCAAACACAACCTGTGCACCAGGCTCAGCAGTTCCTCCGCTGGCCACCAAGGGACGGATTTCCCTTCTCAACTTGGTGAAATGGCTGCAGGTTCCCCGAGAATTCGTTCAGCCTTGTGGTAAAAGCCTGGTTCAAACTTTCAAAAAGCTCCAAGACTGTATCTTCCCGAGCTGAAGTAATCAGAAGCAACCTTGTGGTTTTCTCAAGGCCCTAACAGAGTTTTCTGGATAGTCAGTGCTCACTCACATAAGGGCGGTGCAGTGGGCTGGTGACTGACAATCCTTCTGCTCAAAGCATCGAGGACAACAAGGGAAGTTCAACAGCTGCTAACTAAGGGTCATGTTGCCTCAGCACCCCGATATCTTTGCTTACTTACAGAAAATGAGTACCAGAGTGCTTATGATAAGAAATGTGGCCCAGTGGTAGAGGTGCACACCTTTAATCCCAGCACTCAGGAGACAGCAGTCAGATTCTATGAGTTCCAGGCAGCCTGTCCAGGATACACAGAGAAACCATGTCTCCATAAATAAATAAATAAGAAAAAGAGAGAGAGAGAAACTGAGTCCTGGAAGTTGTAAGTTGTCCTCTGACCTTCACAAGTGCTCCATAGCACTTACACACACACACACACACACACACACACACACACACACTAATAAATGTAAAGAAAACAAATTTTAAAAGGGCTAGTCCTGGGAGCTGGGGAGATGGTTTACTAGGCAAAGTACTTAATGTACAAACATGAGGCTCTGAGTTCAAATCCCCGGCATCCACGTAAAAGCCAAGTGAAGAGGTGTGCATCTGTATTCCAAGATTCCTCCCTGGAGGAGATGCAGACCACACCTACCCCTTCCTTCTACAGTCCCGTCAATAAACTGAGGTGCAGTTCCACCAGTGTCAGCTCCGGGGATTCAGTGAGTTTATTAGGCTTCCTTACAGAGCAGTGGCTGAGGGGGGTTACAGGCAAGAGCATGGATGCCCTTAAAGCAGCTATAGTGGAAGGTTGGCACTCATCATGATGTTGATTCCTGTGTAGATGGAACCCCTCCCCTAATTCTTCCTGGTCTATATATTCTATCCTTTCTCTGAGACCCCGTGTGCACTGGCAGAATTACATACAACTGGTTGCCCTTCGTCTGTGAGGTAGCACCAACGGTCATTGAGCCCAGCCATGAAAGCAGCCCAGGTTGACGGTGACAGAGTGGTTTGGAGGGCAGTCTCTGTACAACTGTCTGTAACCCCAGCATCAGGGCAGGGGTGTAGGGAACTCACTGTCCAGCCAGTCTAGTCAAACAGTAGGTCCACAGTTCAGCGAGAGACTGTGTTTCAAGAAGAATAGGATGGAGCGCCATGGAGGAAGGCATGTGACTTAAATGTTTGGCCTCTACACATGCACATGTGAGTAAATACACAGAATGAATACATAAATAAATCATAAAGGTCAGCACGAGCAGGGGTCAGCCCAGAGAGCAGGGGGTAAGGAGCCACCACCAATACAGTCTTTGGAACCCCCTGTGAGACAGTGGGGGGGGGGGAGGTCAGAGAGGCTGGAGGCCAGCATCTTCAGAGAGAACTGGGGCTGGAGGGTGAAGTGTGATAACCCCAGTAAGAGCCCATTCTGGGACTCCATCCCTAAACTACAACTTCTTTGTTCCTTTATCCACCCATTCTCCTGAAGTGCACCATTCAGCAGCTTCCCAGGAACGGCAGGATTCGGCGATGTAGTTCCCAAGCCTCTGCATACCTGAAAATGTCTTTACTCTCTGCTCCTGCTGTGTTTACGTGAGCTAACTGTACTAGCTCATCTTTTTCTGATTGTTTTAGTCATTTGGCCAAGCACAAATGTTAAGAGGGTCAGCGTCCCCAGCGAGGTGTCTCAGTCACCTCCACAGTTTCTCCCCCTGGATGCCTCCGGGGTTTCTCCACCTGCGCTGTTCTTATGCATGACCGAAGGCGCCTTTGCGTTGGTGGTCCGTCCCCTGGTATGGCAGTCTGGTTCACTTCATCTCGGAAGTGCTGGGTGCTTTTGTGGGGAACACCTTCCTGAGTTATTTTATTACTATAAACTAGGGTTCTTCAAACAGCAGAACATTATCTTCTCTCATCTTTGGAGGCTAAAAGTCTGAAACCAAGGTGGCATGCTACCTCAGAAGCTGCTGCTAAGGCTTGTGTCTTCCCTGGCTTCTAGGGCTCCAGGCATGCAACAGCTTTGTTCTCAGCTCTGCCATCATCCTCACTGGGCCTTCTCCATGGTGTCTGCTCCTGTCTGTCTCTATCAGGACACTTGTTGTTGAGTGCAGGGCTATATGGGTACCCAGGGTAACCCCTTCTTAAGATATGCCTAGACGTTTTTTCCCCATAAGGCTATCTTCACAGGTCCCAGGGTCAGACCTTGGGTTTTTCTCCTCAGGGGCATCATTAATCCCCCTGTAAAGCCTATAACCAAAAGCCAGTCAGGAAAAGTCAGGTATGTTTAGCTTGATTTCAATATCGCATATAATACATTTATTGAAATATCACATTAATTCAAAATGTGTGCAATTTGTGGGGTGTGTGTGTGTGTGGAGAGAGAGAGAGAGAGAGAGAGAGAGAGAGAGAGAGAAATCACATGCCTGTAGTCCTAACTGAGACTGTGGTGGATCACTTAACCCAGGAGTTAAGACCAGCAAGACCCTTTCCCTGGAAAAAAAAAATAGCTAATTTTAAGGTATCCCATTCTAGCAGAAAAACATAAGTTCAAGAGAAACGCAGCGCATTACCAAGAGGGATTTCCTTTCCAAGGGAATGAGAAGGGAACTCATGGGACACAGCTGTGTGAGGTTGGGATGTGGGCACCAGACCAGGCCTGGCTTTGAGAACTTCCTGGTCACATTCAACCCCCGTCCCACTTCAACTTCTCGGTGGGAACTGTAATCTAGGTGCTCCTGTTAGAGTCATTATCAGCTCCTGTCTGCCTCTGAGCCAGACAGACAAAGCCTCGAGCACATTCGCTTATCCAAAGAAACTGTTTGTGTCTGTTTGAACCTTGTTTCCCTGGGAACCTTGGGTTCTCAGAGCCCATTGGACTGAAGGCAGATGCCTTTCATTAAGATGGCAGGAAGAACCAGACGCTCAGCCAGGACAGAAAGAGAAAAACCATCAAGGGGTGAGCTGTATGAGACAGACTCAAGGGACCAACCTCAGACCTTGTGTCTCTGTCTCCCAGCATGGGCTGCTTGAAGAAGACCCTGTCTTTCCTTCTTATTTTTGTGTCCATATATGCACGGGGAACTCTGTTGCAGGAAGCTGACCCAGTTAGGCAAAGAAAACCATTTTTTGAGAGGCTACGTCGACTAGAAGAGCAGGTAGGTGAAGTACACTTGGGCAGTTGGTTATATAAAGCCAGTAGCATGTAACGGATGGATGTTACACAGAGAGCTGCTATCTGTGTTCACTGGACACAGCAGTTGGTTCGCTATCCTTGCTGGAAGCTGACGATAATCTCACCTGTTTCTGGAAATCAGGTAAGCATTTGCTAAGCTCTGCTCTAAAGTCCAACTAGACAATGCGTTTGGGAAGATGCAGGAAATTTAAAGCGCTCTATAGGAGGCCCAGAAAGCATAGATGGAGAGGCCTGGGTAGCAACAGTACAGGGCAGTGTCCAGAGGTGTGGGGGCTATGAGAGCACTGGTCTACCTCAGAGCAGGACATATGCCCTACCCAAGGATTCCACTTGGGATCTGTAGGCAGTGCCCCTGCCCAAGCACTTTCTATACTGATGTCGATAAAGTCAGGCATGATAATTTCCCACAATCCCAGTGCCCAGAAGATCCGAGTAAGAGCTTCTGTGAGTTTGAGGCTAGCCTGAGTGATGTAATAAGTTCTAAGCCAGTCTGGGCTACTGAGTGAGGCTCTGTTTCAAAACAAACAAGCAAAAAACCAGAAAAGGCGCAGGGAGTGGTGGCACACTCTTTTAATCCCAGCATTCAGAAGGCAGGGGCAGGCAGGTCTCTGTGAGTTCAAGGCCAGCCTGGTCTACAAATAGAGTTTCAGTACAACCAGGGCCATTACACAGAGAAACATCATCTTGAAAAAAACCAACACACACACACCCAAATTCTGAAAGGCTAAGGTTGCTCAATGGCAGAGTGCTGTTGCCTTGCCTAGAATGAGCAAAATCCTAGATTCGGTTCCCAGAACTGCAAAAAACATAAATAAATAATAAACAAAGGCACTTGTAACTGAAGAGACAGCTCAGCAATTAAGAGCACTAACTACTTCCAGAAGACCCAGGTTCGTTCTCAGCACCCACATGATGGTTCACAGTCATCCATAACTCCAGCTCCGGAGGTCTCCAAAGGCATTGACTACGTACCTAGTGCACATAAATACATACATGCAGGTAAAACACTCATACACATAAAATTAATTAAATAAATAAATACATCTAAAAATTTGGAGTTTGTTTGTTTTTCAGGACAGGGTTTCTCCATGTAGTTCTGGCTGTTCTGAAACTTGCTCTGTAAATGAAACCAGCCTAGAACTAAAATATTTTTAGATGCACTCATACCAACAGCTCATCTTCAGTCCCCTAAGATGGTAGGAGTAACCCTGGGGACCATGGCAGTGAGAAAACTGGCTGTGGTCTTCCAGAGGAAAGATGGCTGCCAGGGCCTGAGTCTGGAGCCCACATCTTACACCTGAGGACAGTCACCCCCTTTGTACCTGGCCCTTTGGGATTAGTCATGAGAATCCCCCCACATGTCCTAGCATGGGGACAAAGATGAAATTGGTTAATCTATAACCAGGGCCATCGCTACATGCAGAATAACTGCTTCTGAAGAATACTTAGGATAGCTTCACCCCAACCCCGTGATAGCTGTGATCTCTTTACAGTTTCAGAGATTCCAACAGGTGACCTTAACACACCTGCAGGACATTGCTAACAACTATAACGTGTACTACAATGTGGATGCCCGCTTCCAGAGCCTGGTGGAAGAGAGCCAGGCCATAGCCCTAGCGGTGAACCAGTCTCAAGCCGCCATACAAGAGGACGTGGCCCACCTAAAAACTTGGTTTACGAAGAGCCAGCGCAGGAGCAAGAAGGTGGATGCCCAGCTTCAAGCCTTGAACCTCTCCCTGAGCACAAACAGCAGGCAGTGGGTAGAGGAGGAAAGGGAGCAGAAGGCACAGAGAGAGGCTACAGCAAACCTGGCCCTGGGCCTTAGGGCCCTGCAGGATGCGCTAGCCAGCCTGACACAGCAAGTCCACAGCCAGGAGGCCAGGCTTGCTGCTCTTGAGGGACAGATGCAAAGGGCCTCCCCTGGTGCTGCGGCTCTGGAGTTGACTACAGACCTGACCCCCACTCAGCTTACTCAGCGAGGCCCAGGTTCCTTGCAACTGAGGAGAAAGAGCCAGACATCCAGGGCTTCACTCCACCGCGGGAGTTCCCCCCAAGACTTCACTGTCCGTGTCCAGAAGACACAGAAGTTCCAAGCCCCAAGCAGCCACCAAGCAGCTCCACCAAAGACCCACCAAGGACCAGGAAACAGTAAGTGTCACAAGCTTGTCACCTCCCTACCCAATTCCAGGCTTCCCTAGCAATACCTGAGGTTATGATGTCATTTCCCATCCCTGTCACCCCAAAAAAGCTCCCCCACAAAGGCTATATGCCCAACACTAGAAGAGAGAATGGCCCAGCCTTGCTACTTGCCGGTCCTCAGCAGGTCAGGACACACGGCAGAAGGACCTCTTCTGAAGTGATCGAATCAGGAGCCTCAAGATGAGGAACTGTGTGAAGCATAGTAAGAATCCTGGGGTCTCAGAGAAACAAAAGTGAAACAGTTTAGTTTGTGGTTGTGCAGGAGCCCATCAGGAGCTTAAAAAACCGAGCAGAAATGGCTGGTGACTTTTACAGTCCTAATCTGGCACGAAGTAGTGACTTTTATATTCTTAATCATTTCCTTGCCTCCTAAAATCTCACTGCTTGAGTTATTCGGGGAGGCGCAATCTTCTCTACTAGTCTAGGACAGTCCCTACCCCAAATCCTGCTGGCTTGTGACACTCTCCTCCTTACTGATACCAGGCTCAGTCACACAGCAGATTTCTCAATTTAAAGATCAACTGTGGAGGGCTGGAGAGATGGCTCAGCGGTTAAGAGCATTGCCTGCTCTTCCAAAGGTCCTGAGTTCAATTCCCAGCAGCCACATGGTGGCTCACAACCATCTGTAATGGGGTCTGGTGCCCTCTTCTGGCCTTCAGGCATACACACAGAAAGAATATTGTATACATAATAAATAAATAGATAAATAAATAAGTATCAACTGAGGAGTGCCCAGGCAAGCAGGTACCTGCGTCTAGAGGGAAGAGGGACCCAGTGCCGCCTGCTTATCTGTGATTCGTGGATGAGTTCTAAAGGCAACTCGCACTGAAAATGGACCCCAAGGATTTATTTTCTATAGAATCATCCTAGATTCTCTGGCTAATAACAGTCATCAGAGGCTAGAGAGAAAGGCAGGGGAGTCAGAGTTGGAGGTCACTTGAGGACAGAGGACAGAGGCAGAGCTTAGGAGGATGTGGTGTGGAACTGGGCAGAGCCAGGAGCCAAGGCCTGCAGGGAGGATGCCTACCAGTTCCAAACAGAATGAGGTAGCGCCTCTGAGCCTCAGGGGGAAGCTGTGTCTGGAACCCTGTGAAACCGGTTTCAAGTTTATGACCTCCAAGAGAGGATAGCCTTGTAGCGGAGTTATAGCTGCTCCAGGGAGCTCAGACAGAGGCTCCCTTGGTTTTGAGGTGCCTCCTAGACAGTCCGCTGGGTCACACATCAGACAGAGGCTCCCTTGGTTTTGAGGTGCCTTCCTAGACAGTCCACTGGGTCACACATCAGACAGAGGCTCCCTTGGTTTTGAGGTGCCTCCTAGACAGTCCGCTGGGTCACACACAGGGGATCCATCCACTCCTCTAGAAGTTATCCTCAGTCCTTACCTGTGGAGCAGAAGCGTTCAGATTGTGAGTACAGAGGAGGGGGTGTAAGCTCTCCAAAGACCCTGGGTGATGTAGGTGAGAGCCAGGGCCAGGCCTGCAGCAGGATACTTCTGAACTGCCTCAGGCTCAGGGATAACTCTTGCCTCTGTTTCCAGTTTGCAGCACGGGCCCAGTGCTAATTTTCCCCAACGCCTCCACTGAAAATGTGATTTTTCTTAGCCCGGGCTTCCTCGTGCCATTACGAGCTCTGTCCTTCTGCAGTTGGGTTCGCATGGCCTCCGGCCACCTGGGCACCCTCCTTTCCTATGCCACCAAAGACAACGACAACAAGCTAGTACTCCATGGCCGAGACACCCTGGTCCCTGGCTCTATCCACTTTGTAATCGGCGACCCGGTCTTCAGGGAACTGTCCCTGCGTCCACTCCTGGACGGCCAGTGGCACCATGTTTGTATCATCTGGACATCCGTGGAGGGCAGGTACTGGCTCCACGTAGACCGAAGGATAGCAGCTACTGGTGCCCACTTCAGAGAGGGCTATGAGATCCCTCCTGGAGGGTCCCTTGTGCTGGGTCAGGAACAAGACACCATGGGGGGTCAGTTTGACAGCTCTGAGGCCTTTGTGGGGAGCATATCTGGCTTGGCCATCTGGGATCGGGCACTGGCCCCTAGAGAAGTGGCAAATCTTGTCACTGGGAAAGAGCTTCCGACAGGTGTCATTCTGACGCTGACCAATGCCACATCCGTGGGTGGATTCGTGCAGAGGGCCAACTGCACCTGTCTGGAGCAGTGTCCATAAGGCTGCCACGCACGGCTGCATCACAGTAAAGACCAGCAGGAAGGGCAAGCCTCGGCGTCAACGCATTCCAAAGCACTCCCTGCGGTCACTGTGGGTCTGTGCGCTTGGGCTCAGACCTAGACTCCTGCATGGAGGTTGGGAGGAGATGGAAAATGTGCAGTGGACACTGCAACTTTCTGTTGCTGTGGAACCCTTCTTTCATTTGGTTGGGTTTTGGGGTTTTGTTTGTTTATTGATTTCTGAGACAGGGTCTCACTCTGTGGTCCTTATTGGTCCAGAACTTGCTCTGCATCCCAGGCTGGTCTCAATCTCATAGCAGTCTGCCTCTAGAGTGCCAAGGTTCCAGATGTGAGTCACCAATCCCACTCCCTCCCTCCCTCCCTCCCTCCCTCCTTCCCTCCTTCTTCCCTCCCTCCCTCCCTCCTTCCCTCCTTCTTCCCTCCCTCTCTCCCTTCTCTTTTGACAGTTTCTCACTGTCTGTAGTCTAGATTGTTTGAATTAATGACCCAACAGCCCCTTGAGTGCTGAGACCCCCTGACTTTCACAGTGACATTTTTATGGGCTGCACCTTCAAGGTCGTTTTCACTTCGTGGTAACAAGCTGTTCTATCACCCGGCTGAGCTGGTGGACACGAACACTGGGCTTGTGGGGCCTTCCTTCTGCCTCACCTCTGCATCCACAAAAAGCTGTCAGACAGATGAGAGGTCAGTCCCTGGGGACCCTCTAGAAGCTATGCAGGAAGTAGTTGTACCGTATTTGTCTCCTCACAAAGCTTGCCTGTGGATGTGGATGTTCCGACATTACTCTCCTGGAAAAGGCTTAGCATTCGCTGGGCAGGGGTGGCTCACACCTTTAATCTCAGCACTTGGAAGGCAGAGGTAGGCGGATCTCTGTGAGTTCAAGGACAGCCTGGTCTACAGAGCTAGTTCCAGAACAGGCTCCAAAAAGGCTTAACATTCTCTTTCCCCCTTAAGGCTTAACATTCTCCCCCTTTCCCAGGAGCGCTGGGTATTACCTGCAGGTCAGCTGGTCATTTCTTTTTCTATTTTCCCGTGGTATCTGTTGAAGCTTTCAGAATTATCATTAAACACCCACTAGCAATGCTTTAAAACATAATTTATGAGGCATAATTTTCATATTATATGTGCCTTTTTGCTGTTGTTGTTGTGTGTTTGTTTTTTGAGATAGCATTTCTCTGGGTAACAGGCCTGGCTGTCCTGGAACACCACCTGGAATACTACCAACTTCCGGCTAATATATACCCTTTTAAAATTTTTAAAAGGTTTTAATAAAAGTGCTGAGTTGTGCAACCATGACAATCTAGTTTTATTTCTTTATTTGTTTGTTTTTCAAGACAGGATTTCTCTGTGTAATAGTCCTAGCCGTCTCGCTTTGTAGACCAGGCTGGCCTTGAATTTACAGAGATCCACTTACCTCTGCCTCCTGAGTGCTGGGATTAAAAGCACACAATAATCTAGTTTTAGCACTTCTGTTCATTAGCTGATGGACATTTTTTTTAAAAAAGCATATTTATTTTTATTTTATTTGCATTGGTGTTTTGCCTGCATGTATGTCTGTGTAAGGATGTTGGATATTGGGGTTACAGACAGTAACATGTTAGCTGCCTTATAGGTGCTGGGAATTGAACCCAGGTCCTCTGGAAGAGCAGTCAGTGTGCTGAACTGCTGAGCCATCTCTCCAGTCCTTGCTGATGGACATTTTGATGGTTCTAGTTTTTTTCAGTAATGTAAATAAAGTTGTTATGATCATTCTTACATATGCACATATGTCATTGAGTAAGTGGATATGTTTTTATTTATCCTGTGAAAATACCCATGATCAAATGGGCCATATAGTAAATTCATATCTAGGAATCGAAGGAAACTTGCAAACTTTTCTAAAGTTGCTGCCCAATATATATCCCCATCAGCACATGTGATGGATTTCCTTTCTCAACATCCTTGGCAAACCCTGGCTTTGTCTATTTTGACAACTATCTCTTCAGGATCCAAATGGAGCCGTTATAAAGCAACAACAACCAACAGAACAAAACACATCAGGGTGGAGAAAAGGCTCAGTAGTTAAGAGCACTTGCTGCTCTTGCAGAGGACCTAGGTCCAGTTCCCAGCTATCAGGACAGCTCACAACCTTCTGTAACTCCAGTTCCAGGGATTCCAATGCCTTTCTGTGGCCTCTGTGGACACCAGCACACGTGATGTGCATATACATACACACAGGCACTCACACACATAAAATAAAAATATATCTGTTTTTGAAACATGGTTTGACAATTAAAAACAGGCATTTGTACTTTCATTTTTGGTGTGCTTTTGAAAAATTACCTTTATGACACTGAAAAACACCCAGAGAAGACTCAAAATCAAGATCCTCAAGTCAAGAGTCCATTGTTATAGACAGGAAAACAAGCGGAGGGACACAGAGAGGCCCACTGAGCCTGGGGACAGGGCTGGTCCTCAGAATGCACCCCCCTCCTTAAAAACAAAGGATTTATTTTATTTTGAATCATGTATATATTTCTATCTATGTGGATCTATGTGAGTGCATGCTGTGTGGACCACAGAGGCCAGAGCTCTTTTGAGGATGGAGTTGAAATTGTTTATGAGCAACCTCTTGTGGGTGTTGGAAAGAGAACTCCAGGCCTCTAAAAGAGCAGTAAGTTCTCTTGACCACTGAGCTATCTCTCTAGCCCCCTCCCCTTCTTCTGTTCTCCTTCCTTCACAGGAATGTTGAGTCTAACGGAATCTTTTTGGACCCCGTTGTACTCTAAGATGCTAGCAACTCGGCAGCCACCAGAAGTCAACAGGGACGGTGGCCATCAAGTTTGCCATCTAATAAAAGTGAGGATTAACAGTAGGAGTAAACAAAGAGAAGGCGTGCTTTAGGAAAAAATTATTTAAGTGAGAAATTAAGAAAAAATGGAAGCTGGGCAGTGGTGACACACACCTTTAATCCCAGCTCTTGGGAGGCAAAGGCAGGTGGATCTCTGTGAGTTCAAGGTCAGCCTGGTCTACAGAGTGAGTTCCAGGACAGATACCCTGTCTCAAAAATAACTGAGATGGGGGGGGGGATGAAAGAAATTCCTAAAAGAAGGAAAAATCATTGGGTTCTTTTGTATATGGAGTTTATAAAGGGCTATGGCAGGAATGGGACAAAGGCTGAGGTAAACTCTATGAGACTGGCCAGTTCTCCAGATGCATTAGCACCTGAGCTTCTGAGCAGGCTGCCATGCTCGGTTAATTCCCCTTACCCGGCCATGAATATGAGCTGGGTGTGTGCTGCATATCAGATTAGTTATGGTTGAACTTCTTTCCATTTCTGGCCCTGACTATTTCTCTTTCTTTCTTTCTTTCTTTCTTTCTTTCTTTCTTTCCAGATTTATTTATTTATCCTATACACAGTGTTCTGTCTGCATGTGTCCCTGCACGCCAGAAGAGGGCACCAGATCTCATTACAGATGGTTGTGAGCCACCATGTGGTTGCTGGGAACTGAACTCAGGACCTCCGGAAGATCAGCCTTCAGAAGATGCTCTTAACCTCTGAGCCATTTCTGCAGCCCCCTGACTTTTTCTTAGCTGTTGACTTGGACCATCTGAGAGCTGTCATTCACTTGGCCAGCTTGCTATCTGGCCTTGTAGCTGTCCAAGTGCTGCTAATTGTACTGAGCTCTCTGAATTCTCAAGAAATAGCTGCCGTTGTTCTTAACTATTTGTAGTTTAACTTGTGGTCTAGCGAATGGTCTGAGGTTTCTCTCCTGCTGTGTGTAGAGGCTTTGTAAGATGTTCTCTGTTACAATTAGTTATATGAGGAGCAAGAATATATGAAAGGGCGATACTGCTTTATAAACATTTATAAACAGGCTGGGGGTGGGGGAGCCAGCCCGCCCTCAGTGACCCAGAGCCCGGTCCCTCTTCTTATCTCAGCAGCTTGGTAATCTTTTCTTTCTTTCGTTCTCTTTTTCTTTTCTTTTTTTTAATATTTATTTATTCATTATGTATACAGTTAGCCAGAAGAGGATACCAGACTTCATTACAGATGGTTGTGAGCCACCATGTGGTTGCTGGGAATTGAACTCAGGACCTTTGGAAGAGCAGGCAATGCTCTTATCCACTGAGCCATCTCTCCAGCCCTTTCGTTCTCTTTTTCTTCCTTCCTTCCTTTCATTCTTTCTTTTTTAGACAGGGTCTCATTATGTAGCTCTGGTTGTCCTGGAACTTACTCTGCAGACCAGGCTTGGTGTGGGAAGTCCTTCTGTATATGTGTTGTCTTTATTGGTTAATGAATAAAGAAGCAGCTTTGGCCTGTGATAGGACAGAATAGAGCTAGGTGGGAAAACTAAAGTGAATGTTGGGAGAAAGTAGGCAGAATAAGTGAGAAGCTATGTAGCCGCCACAGGAGACAGATGCCTCTCCTGGAGCCCGCTAAAACTTTGCCGGTAGGCCACGATTAATGGAGATGGGTTAGTTTAGGATATAACAGCTAGCTAGAAATACATGTAAGCTATTGGTCAAACAGTGTTGAAAATAATATAGTTTCTGTATGATTATTTCAGGTCTGAGCATCCTGGAAGGAATGATCAGCCTCCAACAACACAGGCTGATCTCAAACTCACAGTGATCCACCTGCCTCTGCCTCTGGGATTTAAAGGCATGCACCACTATATCCGGCACCAGTTTAGTTATTGCCTGCCTATTTTCATTTTTGCAGTGTTTCAGGCCTTGCCACTTCAACACAATCTTCCTTTTAACCTCAGTGCTCATTCTCACTGCAACTTGTGAGCGTCTTGCAGTTTTCACCATGTGCCCCTTTCTGCCTACAGAAAGCTACCTCCTGCATCATTGGTTTGGACGTCTGTTTGTGAAAGAGTATCACTGTATAAACTGTGTCGGTATCAAACTTCCTACCCTCCCATCTCACCTCAGTTTTCCAGATGCTGGGATTATTGACACATGCCACCACATCCCTTTTCCATTTCAAAAGTAAAACGGGGGTCTGGAGAGAAGGCTCAGAGATTAAGAGCACTGGCTGCTCTTCTAGAGAACCTGGGTTTGGTTCCCAGAACACACATGGCAGCTCACAACCATCTGTCATTCCAGTTTGGGAGGATCTGATGCCCCTTTCTGGCTTCCACAGGTACTAGGTACACACATGGTGTACATACATGCAAGCAAAATACTCACACACATAGATTTTTCTAAAAATTCAAAAGCAAGAAAGCAGACTAGTGGTGACACATACCCAGTGTTAATCAAACCATGTACCCAAG